ATTCAGGGAGTCTACTGTTCTGCTAAAGACAGAACGGGTTAAAGTTTAGCTTGCTCTAAACACTCCTTTGTCCTACCAGCCCACTCTGAGCTCTCTAGCCCTGGGGAGGCTCTCAGCCCCCTTTCCTTTTCTTCATTCACAGACTGGAGGCAGAGTCCCTGGAGGAGCCCTTGGAGTCTGGGCTCTGGCCCCCTCACACCCTTCCCCCAGCAGATCTGCAACAGTGGAAATCTCGCCTGGACTTGCCTCTGGATCCCAGACTGGTGGGCGGGCCAAGATCAAATCGCATCCCTGGAATGTTCATTATCTGCTTTCAGAGGCCCACTTTCTCCTTCTTCCACCTCCCTCCTCCCTCTAGCCTTCTTCGCCTTTCAGTGGATGGAAAGGAGGAAGAGAAAGAAGAGAAAGAGGAGGAAGTGAGGGGAGGATGTAGAGGGGGATTGGGGGAGCACTGGCTGATGAATGTTAGGATGTCAGCACTAGAGTATTGAATGGTTTATCTCACCCCTTGTTTTTAAAGCTGAATTATCAGGACTCCTTCTCCTATGACGGTGCCCTGTTTTCTCAACCATCTACCACAGATCCAATGCAGGCACCCCAGCTTTCCAACAGAACAAGCAAGTGGATGAGCTGTGAGGCCTACAGTCAGAAAGAAGTAGCTGTTACCCCTGACTCAGGCTTTTGAGACACACATAACCATACAGCATCCTCAGTAACATTGTCACCATGGCTATTATCATCACTGTCACCAGAATTACCATCAGTACCATAATTATCACCACCACCATCATCTTTACTATTTCTATTGTCACCACCAAGTGTATCATTACTTCACCATCGTCCCAAGTAGAATTAGCACCAGTGGCTCTGTCATCACCATTACCTTCATTAGCACGATCTTCACCATCATCATTACCAGCAGTAGCATCACCCCACCAGTCTTCCTTTCTCTTTCACAGTCCCCTGGATTGCTTACCAACTTTGTTCTCATGGCTGGAGACCTGGCTAACAGGCCTTAGAAGATTCCCTGCACTGAGCCTGTAAAAGCGGACACTTCATTACCCTGCTCTGCAAACACATGGTACTGAGGCCAGCCCCCTTAGTGCCTGTAGTCCTGGACTTGAGGCCTGCCTGAAGCCTGGGCTTCCACTTGCTTGGGCTCCAGAACTGCTGCTGGGACAATGGGCTTCTGCAGGCATCATGTGTTCTTTCTCTTTTCTGTCCCTTCTTTTTCATCCTCCCACCATCTCCAGAATCAAGTGTGAACACGGGCCCTTAGGGACAATACTGCATCAGGGACACTTTCCCTGAAGATATTAGGCTTCTAAGCCTGGCTTAGAACCCTCCAAAATGCCCCCCACACTCACTGAATGCCAAACCTTTGTGTCCATTTGGCAGCCACAGACAGAATTTTCTAGTAGTTATATCAAACGGAATCAGAAGCAGGTGAAATTGGCTTCAATTATATGTTTTGTTGAACCAAAAGCAGTCTAAACATATCCTGCCAACAGGAAGAGTCAGGGTAGGAATTAAAGAGTCTGCTACCCTGTACTGTCTCTACTGAGGTCTGCCATCCAAGGCACCGCTCAGCAAGGTTAAGAGTTTGACTGCAGTGCAGGGGCCCAGTGGCCCAATACAGGACCTGCAATGGGGAGTAAGGGTCTGGGGCATGGCACACCCTTGTCTTCCCAGTGGGCAGTGCTCCAATGTGTTGGTCTATATTCAGGCTAAAACTGTGTGCTGAGTGGGCCACCTATCTTGCTGTGGCTGTTAACCAGGGCATCCAGAGTTTGCTGCTCATAAGAACTCACATACCAAAGCCTAACTCTGAGAGCTTAACAGTCACCATCCCAGCCCTAAGTGGCTCCTATGGCCGTGGTAGCCTGGTTGTGACTGTGGCTCATTCGCTGCTCTCAGTGGAACCCCATCGAGGACAGATTCTTGAAGTCCCTGGGAGATGGTGGGGGCACTTCAGCAGTTTTGAAAGCTGGCTTCTGCACCACACCCCTCCCAGGCTTGGCAGTTTCCCAGCTCAGTGGTCACAGGCAGAGTTATCAGTAAACCCTGTGCTGTGTGGTGTGTGGGTTTACCAAAAGACCGGAGGACTGCCCAGCCCACATGTGGGGCTCTTGTCAGTGAAGATTAGTAGGGGACAGCCCTCCTTTGTCTCAACCCTGGATAAATGCTATGCCCAGGTGGGCAGACTGACTCTCAGCAGCCTTCCTGCAGCATTCTTGGTGGGGCTCAGTCAGGCATAGGGTTAAAGATACTGTAGGGCTAGGATCTGGGGGTGGAGGTGGGCGGAGCTGCTGACTCACCACTGCACAGTGCCTAGGTATGTGGAGACTGTCTGTGGATCATGCTTGCTTTCTCATTTAGAGGAAGGATTTCATCACATGCCTATATATATGGTCCTGGTTCTGGGAAGAGAGAATGAGTTTACATTCCCCACCCAAACAATGAGTCCCCCCCTCACCTCTCTTTTTTCCTATCTCCCTCATCCCTTCCCTTCTCTGTTTCTCTCTCTCTCTGTCCCTGTCTGTCTCTGTCTCTCTGTCTCCCTGTCTGTCTCTGTCTCTCTGACTCTGTCTCGCTGTCTCTCTCTCACACACAGGAACAGGGAGAGAAGATTCAGCCAGTCTCAGACCCTGCATCCCAACCTGGATGACAATGCCTTATCTCTTCTCATCTCATTCTAACATGTGGGTGGCTGTCTCCAGCCTGCAAGCACTGCTGGGGTCTAGCCTACATGTATACCACTGCTGCACATTCACTCAGAGCATCAGAAGGCTACTACCTATTGTCATCTCCATGGACTGTTAGCTGTGTGTCCTGGGCAATTTACCTAATGTCTATGAGGCTCAGTGAATGTTGGTGGTACTCTGGCAAGCCTTCTATCTCTGCACAGGCAAGGCACATGGGTGGGTATTACTGTGTACAAGTCCTTGGGAAGGTTCATATACCCTATGACCTTCTTTTTTAGCAGGTGGGCACTTAACACTTGTCCAAGAAAAAGAAGAGATAAAACAAACTGTTCTGCACACAGAGTGTCAACCACAACACTGCCATAGGTACTAGGCTTTGCATCTGTGCCCAGGACCTGCCTCCCGCACTTTGGATGCCTCCCTCTCCTGCTGTCCTTTCCCTCCTGCAACAGCCTATTGAGCTATGGGCACCCCAGACAGCTCCTTCTTCCCAGCCCTCTTCCTCAAAGTCTTCTTGGCAATCCTCAGTTCCCACATACTTTTCCTTCCATATGGCCAATGTGTGTCATTCTTTCCATGTCCCCCACCTCCGCCTCCGGCCCCTGGCTGGACTTGAACTCTCTTTCTGTATTAGTTCTGGAGGATGCCATGTGTAGGATTTGGTCATAAAGCCCAGCTCTGTACCATTAAGGGTGCTGTGTCAGTGGATAGGGGCTTTGAGGATACCCTGGGAACTCAGACCTTTGTGCTAAGAGGCCCCAAGAATATGGCATGGACAGCATGGGAGCCTTTGCTGAGAGCACCCCTTGCTGCTGCTGCCGCCAGATCCCTCTGGACTCTGGGTCTCTCTGCTGAGGTCCCCTGAAAAGCTTTGATTCTTTCCCCTACTGTCCCTCAATCCTGGCTGTTCCGGTGGCAGGTGAGCAGGCCCCGGAGCCTGGTGCTCTCGCACTGACTCTGACTGTCCTCCTCTCACCAATTCTCCATCCACACCCTGCCCTCCCTGGCCCAGCCCCCTGCAGGCATGTAGCTGGTCACATCTAGTCCTGAGGCAGAGATGGGACTAGTTCCTTCCTTCCTGGGATCTAGGATTAGGAACTGTTGGGAGGATGGGTGGTTGAGGATGTGCCAGCAAAGATCCGAGTGTGACCCAGGTCACTTACTCATCCCAACCCTGGGCAAGTCCTCTGCTTCTGGCCACCCTTTGTGAACAGAGCTGTTTTTTTTTGTTTTGTTTCGGTTTTGGTATAGGGTCAGGTGCTGTAACCAACAGGCATCATGCAAGGGCTGGAGGACTTGGAGACACACTGGACAAGTTCATTCTCTGCAAAGAACACCTCAAGGTGCCTGTTACCCAGGCCCAGCCAGGTCTAGTTCTGACCTTCAGTGGAAAAGTCTGAGCCTGTGTGCCCATAGGCAGGTAGCTGAACCCTGACTCCAAGTCTCCTCAACCTCGAATACATTTAAGCCTCAAAGAAGTCCTTGGTATAACTCAGTGTCGGTAGCCTTACAACTTCCACTGTCCCGGGCTCTCGTGTGGGACCCCAGACTCAGTAACTGCCCCGTGGCTCACCCTACTACCCAAGCTGCCTCCCTTCTGCTCAGCCACCCACCTCACTGCCCCTAGCAGCCTGCCTTCTTGCCCAGCCACCCCCGCCTGCTCCAGCAGGCTTCTCTGCTCTGCCACGTGTCTCCTTGCTTGCCTCTTGAAAGTGCAGACTGCTGTCCCTCCGTCCAGGACCCAGGTGGGAGAGAGGCCCCCAGACGCTTTCTGGAAACGGCAGGACAGGAACATATTCACAGGACAAACCATTGAGCTCAAGGTGGGAACCTTGCAACTCAAAAACACTCGAACCCTGCTTGTTCATCGGGGACTTGCTAAAAGCTGGCGTGTTCTTCCCCAGCACCGCTCCTGGTGGGAGCTCCGATGCTCAGTGTCCTGGGACTTTCAAATTCTCAGTCTCTGGATGCTTCCAACGACCCCCTCATTGTATGCTGCTCCGAATGGATATATGATCCACCCGAGATCACAGGGCCAGTTCAGGGTGCACATCCCCAAACCCCTGTTTTGTTGAGCGAATAGTAAAAAGCAGGCTGTCTCTTTTGAGGGGTGCGCCTTCCGCCCCACTCTGCCACCTTCTGATCCAAGCGGACCTCTCCTCTCCTCTGTGCTCACCATTCCAACCCATCTTGTCTTGACCCCCACTCCCCACCCCAGCGCCCCAGTCCCTTGTCCTCAGCACCAGGTGGGAAGGGATCAGGTCCCCTCACTGATCCCTTCCAGGCAGGACTCACCGTGGCCAGGACGTTGCCCGCCACCAGGACTGCCACGGCTGCCAGCGTCCAGGGCAGGAGCCACCTCATGCCTGGAAGTCAGCGTCACAGGAGCTACGGCTCAGCCGAGAAGATGCGGATGCCTCTCCAGGGAGCTGGGCCAGGACTGGGCTGGCCCATCAGAGCAGGGGAGAGCCTTCCTCAGCCCCTGAGGGGGTTTGTCAAAGCGACATCTGACGTCAGGCCAGCAGACTAGCCCTGCATTTTCCTCTAAAAAAAACTTTTCCTGCTTCTCTCTCTCTCTCTTTTTCTTCCCTCTGTCCCCACCTCCAGCCTAGCTTGGCCAGCCTCCCTGCTCTGACAGCTCTTAAAGGGAAAGTCCCAGAACTGACTCCACATGGGGAGGTGAATTCTCACGCAGCATCCTTTATGTTGGGGGGGGGGGCTCAGGTCTCAGGGCAGGAGGAAGGAGACAAGAGGGTGTGTACTGGAGGTGGGGATGCTGGGGACAGTGTGGGGGCTCTGTGGGGGTGGTCTTCTGTCTCCCTACACTCTTCTCATTGGCTAGCTTTTCTTCACTGTCTCTCCCACCTCTGACTCAGAGGCAATCAAAAAAGGTTCTTCCTCCACCCAGAAATGAAAAGAATTTACCACTTACATGCCTGGAGGTGTGAGCTATCATCAGGGTCTATCCTACTTCTCAAGGCCATGGACACTGGTAGCAGTTCCTTTGCCAGCTGGCTTCTCTGCCAGGGCTCCTCAGTCCATAAGCCTCTCTTTAGTGTCTTTGAATATTTCTTATTCCTGGTGGGATGGAGCTCCTGGCCTTGGTCCTTTGCCCCAGTCAAAGAAATCTCATATTTTCATGACAAAGAGCCACGGGCAGAGAATCTTCTGAGGGTCCAGATCTACCTCAGGGAGCTCTAGCATCTCCCCATGGACACCATTTAGCCTCCTGTCTCAGCTTCCCTTCTGGACTCTCTGTTCCCGCATCTTAGAAAGACCAGAGTGGTCCTCAGTTTATTACTAAGGACAATATGGGTTATCTTCTGGCTACTGCCAATCAATGCCTGCCCGGGGCTCCTCTCTCCTTCTCTCAAGATTCCCCTGTCTGGCACTCATGACACCTGCTCACGGCTGCCTGTCGCCTACTGAGTGGGAAGGTTCCATTCTATGCACAAAGCACTCCCTTTCCTGGCAGCTTATTAATGGGTGATGCTGTCGTTTTGGAGCAGCAGAGGCTGTACTCACAGAAATCATTTGTAATCACCATAGACATGACCCCCAAAAGGTGACTGATGATTTATTTAGTCAGTCACTCAGGTTTGGTCTCTGAGCCAATTCTAGCCACTGATATGTAAGACTAAGTCTAAAAGGGACCTCATTTCTTAAGAAAAAACAGATCTCTATACATCTTCTCTCTGGTGTGTAAATGTGGTGGCTGAAGCTGGAGCAGCCTTTTTGGTTTAAGAACAAGGCTTAGACTGATGAAAAGGTCTGGGTTCCTGGAAGTTCATCTTTTTATTGAACCAAACATGAGATGAATCAGCAGCTCATGTCCTTAGTCATAGATATTCAGGTACTTTGTTCTTTGGAGCCAATCCATATTAACTGATATTTGAGAAATGAAGGAAATTATATACATAAAATACAAAGGAGAGCAGGAATGTGGAAACATAAAACTAACCACCTCAACAGCTTATGATTTTCTTCTCCTTGACTCTTGCAATTGGTTCCGTAGCTGGAACTTTGCAAAGCCAGTGTGCTAGCAGATGACATTAAGAGGACTTTTCCCAAGTACTGGGAACCAGTGAATCGTTTACGGACATTTGATAGATAGTTGGCATGGGCATGTCCTGTGCCCGGGCCACCTCATAACTGCTTCTGTACTGTGGTCAGGCAGAACAAACTCAGAGGCTCTGGGCAACTCCAAGGCTTTACTGCATCAGAGTTTCTGAAACCAGAGTCTTCTTGTTGTCACACACAGGGTCAAGCACAGATTTCCCAGGCCACCTGGACCAGCCTCAGCCCCTCAGGATTCCACATCTCCAGCCTGCCAAGCTGAACCCAAAGAATACCAATGCTGTGGCTGCTTCTTCTCATCCCTAGGGACAGTACAGCTCTGTGGGGTGATTGGCTGGCTCATGTTCCCATCAACTTCTCAGCACCCGTTCCTTAGAAAAACATGTTCACTGAAATGTTCTTTCTTTGGGGAAATTGAGGCTCAGAGAACAGATGGCACCAAGATGGCATGCATCTTAGTGTAAACAGAAAGCAGTTGCCTAAATATAAATTCTGGTACCAAGTCCTGGGTATAAGTAGGGTTGTGACTTAGGTCAATGGCAACTGTCACAGTCTCCTTCAATCTGTACTCCCACCATATTCTCCAACTGCTTCTCCTTAGTATATGGCCCCTGTTGGCTGCCCAGGTGTCCGTCATGTGCAACTTTCAGATCTTAACCCATCTCATTCCTCTAACGGAAGGCCCTGACATACCTTCAGTTCCTGAGGTAGAAGAACCAGACAGACTCTCATCTTTCAGGAGTTTCTCAGGATATGGGACTCAGGACTCATCCTTTGGCTATCATCAAAGCTGATGTCATTCCCATGTGACTGATGGATGGATCAGTACTGCCTGAAGAGAACTGGCTTGAATTCCTGCCTCCTGACCCTTTCAACCTGGTGGCCATGGAGAGCTCGAATGAGTTCTCTGTGCTTTGGCTTTCTTCTTGTGGCTCTTGGCACTGAGAAAGTACTGGTGTGTGTGTGTGTGTGTGTGTGTGTGTGTGTGTGTGTGTGTGTGTGTGTGTGT